TGTCCGAAAAGTTCGTGGACAACATTGATAATTACTGACAAACATTGACAAAATATAGGAAACTATTATTTTAATTTAATTCATATTTCATTTTATAAATGCAAGTTTTCAACAGAAACTAAGCACAAATAGTTATATTTTTATCAGATACAAAAAAGACACACAATCATACCCTACACACAATCATACCCGCCCCGTGGGGATCCGGATTAGAATAGGTCCTCAGTACCCCCTTGCTTGTCGTAAAAGGCGACTAAATGGGGCGGTCCTTCAGATGAGACCGTATAAACCGAGGCCCCGTGTCACAGCAGGTGTGGCACGATAAAGATCCCTCCCTGCTCAAAGGCCGTAAGTGCCGAGCATAGGCCTAAATTTGCAGCCCTTCACCGGCAATGGTGACGTCTCCATATCAGTGAAATATTCTGGAGAGGGACGTTAAACAGTATACAATCAATCAATCAATCATACCCGGAGCATTAAAACGAAAATTCTTGACGTTACCCGACGTCAAAAGCTAAATACAGGCACATGTAACTTTTCTCAACAAAGTCAGCGTTTAACTCAATAAATTTCTTATGTCGTTTTGACCAGTCATTAAAATATGCACAAAATGTTCAGGTTTCATTCGTAAAATAATATTTAGCTGTCTCACATCCGCAAGCATCCAACCACTGTCCGTGCAAAGACAATTTTATTTACGGAAATACAGCGAAGTCATGATCACGTTACGAAATTCATTTTTTACAGCACTGCATGCAATCTCGGAATGATGGTTTTTCTTCATGCATATCATCCTGTAAACTGTTCATACCCTCCTAAAATATTACGAGGACTGTTCAATAAATAATGTCCTGAACTATATGACATACATTACAGATATCGTATGACATTAAACTTGACTTTCTCTCATTATTGAATCTTTCGTGAATTTATAACAGTTTATGTGACCACTTTTCATCACATAGTTTCATCATGAGAAGCTGGGAAACAAGGGTTTTTCGAGACACTGCATTATAAATGAATGGTAAAGAATCAGTAAACAAGAGTGAAAATAAAAGCTTCATTAAAGCTGCCGTAAAACTTGTAAAAATCCCAAAGAATTATTAACTGAAATATGTGAGACAACCAATGCCTGTTTTATAGACAAAAGAGCAGTTGGATTTCAATGATAAAAAATTATATAATGGGCATCAAAAATGGGTACCCTCCTTGCCAACAAAAATTATAACAACTCATGTACTGTTCACCAAATTTCAACATTTAATATTTGATGCTGTATGGTTGACTTTAAGACACATAGCAAATTTGATAGACATCACATCGGGGGTAGTTTACACTGTATTAAGAAACGTTTGGCGGTAAAAAAAACTTGATACTCAAAGGTCACCCTATATTTTGAAAAATGAGTGAAAATGACAGCGTGTACGAAATTCCCAACAATTATTTTAAAATATCAGTAATTGTAGTTATCCACGTTTGTTTTATTTTCAAACAGATATTGGAACATGAATCTCTCGCTTAAAACCCTAAAAACAAAATTTACCATAAGACGTACTTGATAAAAACAGCGAATGTCTGAAAAGTGCACAGGTATGCAAGAGCACAAAGACAGATTTATATGTAATTTTCTTAAACATTAGTGGTAATGTTGTTCAAAATCGTATTTGGGGAGACAGTTTAATTACTTGAGGAGTCTAGAAAGCATTTTTTTGGCCAACAAATCAAAAGGTTTAATAGAGGAAGGACCCAGAATCAGGAATCCACTACATTGAATTTCTTCAAGACAGCATCCAAAACCGCATGCCCCGAAGAGTAAAGGGGTTTTTGGGATAAACAGAAAGTTAATGTTTTCTCACAATAACAATTTTTGCAAGATCTTTGACTTCTTGACTTGTTTCAATTTTCAAACTTGGAAAAAACACCTTTTAGAAGGAAGAAACAAGTCCGGGAAATCATTGGATCTGGCATTTTCCAGTATACTGAGGGACATACCTAAGTATGAGTTCTACAAACGATCAGAATTTGGATAAAAATTGCTACGGACATGTATTTTACTTAAAAGAGATTAAATAATAAAATCATGAAGAATAAATAATCGAAAAGCGTCTTTTACTTCTTTCTGAGCACCGAGGACATTATTTATTGAACAGCCCTCGTATATGTCACTTAAAACTAGTGAACGACTTCTTTTACTATGTTTTCCCGGTCCGTGTAACACTTAACAATTCAAATTTCTAAAATGATTCGGGGTTTTAGAATGTTAATATATTAGTTCAAATTTCTAAATGTCAAAAACTCAAACTGATTTCGTATATTGAAATTTGATTAAAAATCTAAAAGTTCAAATTTCCAAACAGGTTTTAGAATTTTAATAGTTTAGATTTTTACCTTAAATGTTCAAAATTCAAATTTCCGAAAATGATTTTTGGAATTTAAACGTTTGAGTTTTTAGTCTACCGTTTGTTCAGAAAGTTTACACTTAACAATCTAAAATTTGGTAATATTTTTAGTCTTTTGGTTATTTGAAATTAGCTTCAAACTTCTAAAATCCAACTTTGAAACGTTTTATATTTATAGAAATTTAGAATGTTGAGTCAAATGTTCTAATTTCTAATATCTTAAACACTTTGAGTTTTTAGAATTTTACTTTAAATATCCAAAATTTAAACCAGGCATGGGATATTTGAAGTAAACTTTTAAACTTTTGTACAAAAGTGTTTTGGTTATGAGTGTTTGAATTAAATTCTAAATTTCTAGAAATCTAAAACGTTTGGAAGTTGAAAGTTGGAAGTAAATTTTAAATCATCAACAGACGAAAATTGTTATTGAGTTTTAGATTGTTAAGCGTAAACTTTCTAAACAAACGGTAGAATAAAAAGTCAAACGTTTAAAATACCAAAATCGTTTATGGAAATTTGAATTTTGAATATTTAAGGTAAAAATCTAAAATATTAAAATTCTAATACCTTTTTAGAAATTTGAAAGTTAGGTTTTTGAGCTGAAATATTAAATTTCAAAATACCAAATCAGTTTGAGTTTTTTGAAATTTAGATATTTGAACTAATATGTTAACATTTTAAAACTGAGAATCATTTTAAAAATTTGAATTGTTAAATGTTACACGGACCTTTCCCGATTATTTACAGAATGCATTGGTCTCTGTAGGTGTTTTTCCGATGTCTACGCAGAATTTCATCACTGTTCATCACTGCTCCACCTATTATTCCGTCTCTTTTTGGAACAATTCTGATCCTGTTTTAACATGTTCTTACTTTGATTGCTCAGCCGATTTGAAACTTGGAACGTTCAAATTTTGCAACCTCTTAATTTCCCCAGAATTTTATTAAATACAAATTAAATTTATAGAGTAATAATTTTTTTTTAATTAAAATTTTGCCGTGCTCCAAGTCTAATTATGAAGCCATAATTGTAATTAAACATTTGAAATTGAATAATTTTTTTTACATTTTTTAAATTCATATTTAGTAAAGGCTTAGAAAAATGCCAATATATAAATATTGCATGTAGTTGAGTGTAATTTTGACTGTTGCTACGCAGGAGGGCGTGGCTTCATTATTCAACGGGTAGTAGTGTTTTTTATCAAATGTTTCTCGACGAATCAGATTCAAGTAATTTACATGAAAGTATAATAATAAATATCAATGACACACCTTTTATTTTATTTTTAGCTTGTCCACGAACTTGACGGACAACCCTCGTATGTATGTATACATGTGTATATCTAAATGTCAAGTTGAAGGCCACGGCAAGTGTTCTCTTCTTTTGAAGCATAAGATTTTGCACAAATTCTGCTTTATACGAATAAAATATAAGGTTTGCTAATTATGGGCACAATTGGTACCAATGGGATTTCCATTAGATTGTTGGAAGACCTCATGTCTCTAACAACAACATAGATATAGTTAATTTGAAACTGGACCATATTTTTATGTCAACTTCAGTGGACTTGTGAGTACATTCAGAATGTTTTTTAACACAAAAAATGACAAAGAGGTTTTGACTGACATTTGGCACGAATATAAGTTTTATTGAAAAGTCCGATGAAATTTTAACTTTTTTTTTTAATTTTTATTGGGTTCCTGTGAAAAGGGGAAGGAAAATAATTTCCCGATAGTGAGTTTTGATGTGCATAAAAAAAACTTCAAACTTGGTACAAAATGGTACATTTGTAGGTCACTTGAGTCACTCAGGTGACCTTTTGCTATCCGTTTTCGTCCATCGTCATCTGTCGTGTGTTAACATTTGAACATTTTCAGCTTCTTCTCTTAACCAATTTTGACTTGAAGCATCTTTGGGTGAAGGGAAACAAAAAGAGTGAATTTCATAGTCCCTTCCCCCCTGGTGCCTGAGGGATGGGACCAAAACCACTAAAATTCTTCTTCCTTACTCCCGGGCATCAAACTGTAGGTATGATTGTAATTAGCATTGAGTCCTTTACCAAAATTTTGAAATTCATAGCACCAGGGTTACACGTTTAGAAAAGGAGATGAGTTTACATTTTTGTTTTGTTTTTTTTTTTTCTTGCCAAGAAATTTCCGGATTTGATTTTTTTATTGTGATTAACCAATCCTGAAAAAAAAAAAAATCAGGATCCGTGCCCCTCCCTCCCTTCTTTTTTTTTTTTTTTTGAAAAAGTGCATAAATATCAATATAAACTTGAAACATTATTCAAATATTTGTGCCTTTTGTTGGCTGTCGTATGTGGAAATCCATAATATGGAATGCTAATTCAACACATTGAAAATAATTTTGTTCAAACATTTTTTTGCATTTGGAAATTTACAACAACCTAGAAAATGAGCTTACGTTAAGAAAAATGATGGAATTCTGTTCATTGGTTGTAACATAGACCTTAAACTTTAGGTCTAAGGTTGTGAAGATATCAACAAAAAAGCGAAATCCGAGACAATCGGGAGTCGAGGGGACTAGTTTTACCACTTGCCAACATTATGATCGGGATCGTCATTTTGACTATTTATATACAAAGCCAGATCGGTGCACGTGCAAATTTGAATTTGTAGAACTCTGTTTATTTTGAGTATTCAATCAGTCCTTGTGAAAACCTGAATATTTCTAGGTAGGACAAGTAATTTTACAATTGAAACCTGTCAGAGGGCAAGTACAAAATATTCTGTTTGTGTTTCCCTGGAGTGGAGGTTTTGGCCGTAGGGGCTTGTCTTCCGGGTTGATAAATGTAAAATATATATATATTTTAAATTGTATCTAAATACACTCTAAAAGTTGTTTTAATAAAGATTCTGACATGATCAGGCGAGAAAAATAATGTTTTTTTTAAAAAGTACTACAGTCATTTAGGGTATTCCGAATCACCTTTTACATTTTGACTGCAGATGATTTTATTAAAAACTTTTCACATGGTTGTTTGGTATCAAAGGAAAGACAATTTAGTGAAAAATTCAGATCTACTTTATAGAACGAGTCTATCTTCGATACAGCGACCTTGACAGGGGTTATTTTTACATCACCTTTTTAGTGTGTTGCAAATCACTTCTGGGTAATTCGAATCACCAGGTAAATGGGTTGAAAACTGTCGGTTAATATCATTATAATTGATGAACTAGTTGGTATTGTTTATTAAAAGCTCCAAAAATAAAAAGAATTAATTTTTTTCTTTATTGTTCTGGCTTATTTGAAAGTTATAAACACCCCCCTCTATTCGCACTACAAAACAGCTAGCTTTTCAGAAGCGGGTCATGCAGAAAAGCAATTATTACCAAGAAAACGCCGGTTTCAGAAACTACATGACTGTTAATTGTTGTCCTGTAAATATGATTTTTCACTTTTTTGCCCTTGTGATTTTTTTTTTTCGATGCAAAACAATTAACATTGAGAATATCAAAATTCTACTAATGGGCTACCAAAAAAACATGTAATGATGATGATAATAAAAAAAAAAGTATGAAAAGGAATAAAAACTAGCTCTTGTTTCGAAATGCGTATCACAATTATTAAATATGACATAAATCATGCATGTGTGCACAGTGTAAATATATGTGTACGTGTATATGCGTGCAAGTCCATATTTACATATGTATGATAAAAGGATCAACACTGGTCAAGTGAATACCATTGTTACTCATTAACTCTTCACAGCTAAATTTTTCCATTTCATAATATACACAGCTAGGTCCCTTATATGTAAAGAAAACCAATGTAATCAAAATATTGGACATTTAACAAGTTTGCACTAGCGTGTGCAATTGCTTCAGTTGTGGTCATGCAAATACGTGAGTCGAAATACCCCAAACTGTAGGGAGCTACAAATGCGATTGTAACATACACAATTTTGAAATGTAATAAAAAAAAATATTAACGCTCATGAAAGCTCATAAAAATTCCGTTCTATCAATACCTAATAAGCTAGGTTTCATCAACCAACAATGCCACGACATCAATTAGAAATATTCTGCAACGTTTACACAATTTTCTTCACGAAGGATAGCAAGTTAACGAACGAATTAATAATTCTTTTAATTAAAGCATTAAGTTTACCTCTTTATTTTTTGTATGTATTAAGCATGAACCATGTTGCGAGATGAGCTACAAATCGAAGAAATTGTATTCGTTTTCTGTTGATTAAACGCGTTTTCACGACTGACACTGCATCAAAATTTAGGAAAATCAGCACTTTAGTGAAGAGAACTGTGGCAACGAAATAAATTCATGCCTTAGAGTCCAGAAATAGGTGCTGAAGTGGGAGGGGGTATTTTTTCCAAGATGTCAGCTTGCGTCCCTTTGAGAGTTTATATATAAAGGTGTAGTACAGTGTACTTTTTTAAAAACATTATTTTTCTTGCCTGATTATGTCCGAATCTTTATTTAAGCAACTTTTAGAGTGTATTTAATGTAGATACAAATTTAAAAAATTTTTTTTTTTACGTATATCAATTTGGAAGACAAGCCCCTATGGTTTTGGCCCTTTTACATGTTTTACTGTCTGGAAAAAGAAGTAGTTTCCTCTCATTTCTTCACATTTCTGTTGTTTATACTGAAATGAAATTTAATATACAGATATTTCAGATAAATATCTAGGATAAGTTATGTTTTGGGTACGATCAACATGATCAATCCATTTATGCCCCTTGGACTTAGAAAAAAATCCAATTATTTGCAGTTTCTGTTAATTTTTTTTTCATTTAAAATAATGCATTACCAAATGAATTATTTGTTTACTCAGTTGCAGGTTTTAGACTAGAGCAATAACTAGGTCATAATGGCAGAGTTCAAGTCCACACATACACCTTACACTGAAGACCCCACGCCTGATATGGAGTTCAATGGTGAGTATAATTATATACATGTATTTTAGGGTTCACTGATACTCTGATAAGAGAGATAACTCTTAAAGACAAAAATGTCTACTATCCCTTTATAAAGAACAAGTCTCAATAAGACATCTGTGGTTCCCAGTTACTTGTCAATTTTTAAACCTTCATTAAAAACCTTGAAAAATACATTATATTATTCTCCTATGTCTATATTATATAAGCCAGGGTTTAAAATTGTTAAATAATTGCAATAGACGACAGGCGAAGCTGTGTTTTGAAGGTGGGGTCCTTTGATTTTCATGAATATCGAAAGAAATTTGTGACAGGTACCCACTTCACAGCCTTCATAAACATCGAGCGCAGATTTGTTCAAAGTCCAGATCGAAATATAATGTGTATATTATATTTATCAAAGTTGTGTGAAAATATCTTTGTTGAACAACCTTGCGCTCTGTGTTTTCTTCTTAAAAGTATCATGATTTTGACTCTGTTCGGTGAGTACATTTACATAGGACTAACCCCTTGTTGACCTACTAAGAAAAGAAAATATGTCACATGAATCCACACCGTACATGATTAGGTCATTCTAAAAAATCTTTTACTTTCAAGAATATTTAATGTATGAGTTCCTAATAACAAAGTTTCATTTTCACTCTCTTTATTATGGCGGACTTTTGATACCATTCTGGATGATTTTGATCACTGTACAAGTAGAGCTTTTAAAAAGCTTACCGTCTTTAGCAACAACCTTAAACAGTATATAAAATGATCCCTACCTATCAGACCGTATTATTCTTTTGAATTTCTTGATATTGTATTTCTACATTATCTTTTTACTGGCATTAGCCCTATCACAGTTGTAGCTCTGTCATCTCCGTAAACTGGCCGAGTTCTTTCGGCAAACCTCGATTGATCCGTTACTTTCTTCAAACAAAAATGGCATGAATAATAACAAATTGTAAAGCCTGCAATCCTGCAAGTAATAAAAATCGAATATTATTTATAAGGCCAACATTTTTTTTATTTACCGTTTTACGGGAGCGCCGACCCTAATTTGGACTAAAATGAAATAAAAATAAAAGTCTCTTCTTCAAGTTTTATTTTTGTTTCTCCCGCCAATAGCTTATTTTATAGTCACTGAAAAATTAAAAGAAACGTCAACAAATTTTCTACAAGCCTTTCAAAACGTCAATTGTAATTGGCTAAGGTAAATATATCCATCCAATCACAGTTGACAAAACTAATGAGCATGAATGTCACTGCACTGCATAACAGTTTGCGGCAAAATGTCAGAGTTGTAGTGTTTAATATATTTTTAAATCGACTCAGTCATTTTAAAAAGTGACATGTCATTTATTAGAAAAAAGTATTATTTTCAGATTAACTTTTAATGAAAGATTGAATAAAATAGACGAAACAGTAATCAAAGTGATCAAATGTTATGCGGAGGGCAATGGAAAGTGAGGTTCTGCCAGCCCCTTGTTTTGAGAGGTTTTAAGTATGTATTATCGTTGACAATTGTTTCAAAACATTGAAATACGACTTGAAATTGTTCTGAAACTTATTTTTAAGACAGTCGTGTTTTATCATGTTTATTTTACATGAAACGACTGAATATGCATTGCAGAAAGTGGCGTGACTGAGGAAATTCGAGTCACAACTTTCATTCCTTAATATCATATTAATCAAACATATTATGATTCAAAATGAAATTTTGCTTGTTATGTAACAAATTACTGATTAATACAACTTTTTTTACCAAAAAAAAAAAAAAAAATACCAATAAGGAAAAACAAAGCTGCAGATGATACTTCCATACAAATATGACCTGTTGTTTTTTTTTATTCAAAAGTTGTGGATATTTGAATATGTTTTCAAGAGAAATATAAGATATATTTTATCTACCTATGTGTATACTAATTTGAATTGCATTGAAAAAGATACACAGATTTTTTTTAATTGGTCTAACTTGTGAAACAATTTAACCATGTTAACTGATCCATTAAAAGCCTTACTATATTCTTGCCATATGATAGCTACTCATAAATCCTCAAATCTTATAGTTTATTGAATGCTAAAAAAAGTATGATATAATTGTTTTGCATGCATTAATTTTTTTCAAATAACACCCTTTTCTGCCAAAATAAGGTGAAAAAAACATTTCCATTCTTAATTTAAAAAATAAAAAAGATTGTTACAATTTTTCGTTTTATTTTTATTTTTCTGACCGACTGCTTGAATTTGAAGATTTTATTTTTATTTTTATTTCGACCCCCCGACTCAATTTTTTGAAAAAAATTTCCGTAAATCAATAAATAAAAAAATGTTGGCCTAATGAAATTAAAGAGACCCTTTTAGTTATGATATGAAAAAATATCATGTTATTTAAAATTAATTACTGCTGATTTTGTTGTTCGTTTTGTCATTTTTAGCTCACCTGAGCCGAAGGTTCAAGTGAGCTTTTCTGATCACATTTTGTCCATCTGTCTAGCTGTCCGTCTGTCTGTCCGTCTGTAAACTTTTCACATTTTCGACTTCTTTTCAAGAACCACTGGGCCAATTTTGACCAAACTTGGTGCAAAGCATTCTTGGGTGAAGGGGAATTTAAATTGTTAAAATAAAGGGCCAAGACCCCTCACAAGGGGAGATAATCAAGAAAAGACAAAAATAGGGTGGGGTCATTAAAAAATCTTCTTCTCAAGAACCACTGGGCCAGAAAAGCTGAAACTGATGTGGAAGCATCCTGGTATAGTGTAGATTCTAAATTGTTCAAATCATGACCCCCGGGGGAAGGGCGGGCCACAATGGGGAATCAAATTTTTACATAGAAATATATAGGAAAAATCTTTGAAAATCTCAAGAACAACTGGGCCAGAAAAGCTGAAACTTATGTGGAAACATTCTGGTATAGTGTAAATTCTAAATTGTTCAAATCATGACCCCCGGGGGAAGGGTGGGGCCACAATAGGGATCAAATTTTTACCTAAAAATATATAGGAAAAATCTTTGAAAATGCTTTTCTCAAGAACCACTGCACCAGAAAAGCTGAAACTCATGTGGAAGCATCCTTGGGTAGTGTAGATTCTAAGTTGTTCAAATCAAGACCCCTGGGGGAAGAGCGGGGCCAAAATGGGGAATCAAAGTTTTACATAGAAAAATATAGGAAAAATCTTTGAAAATCTTCTTCTCAAGAAACATTGGGCCAGAAAAGCTGAAACTTATTATGAAACATCCTGGTATAGTGTAGATTCTAAATTGTTCAAATCATGACCCCCGGGGGAAGGGCAGGGCCACAATAGGGAATCAAAGTTTTACATAGAAATATACAGGAAAAATCTTTGAAAATCTTCTTCTCAAGAACCACTGGGCCAGAAAAGCTGAAACTTATGTGCCCATGGAAGGATCATGGGGTAGCATAGATTTCAAAATGTCTAAATTATGATCAGTGGGGTAGGGTGGGGATGCATTATGTATTACAAGGGGGAAATCTGGTAAAGAACAGAATGGTCAAAGTTTCTCAGATGAGCGATGTGGCCTATGGGCCTCTTGTTTAAGATTGGAAATCTGGCAAAATTGTTAAGTCGTATGAAAATTAGATCATCAGAAAGTTATCTCCCTTGCCTTGAACAGCATTTCAACCAATGAAATAATTGAAAATTTTCTCTTCATGCAATTTCTAACAATCGCAAAAGAGAGGAAGACTGTAGGCTGTAAGACTGTAAAAAACTTCAACTACAGAATGCCATCTTCCAAGGAAGACGGTAAAAACGGGTCCTTATTTCCTGACAATTGAAAAAGACCCGAGGAGGGGGAGGGGTGCTTATAGGGGTAGGGGTGATTAATAGGGATTATACGGTATATGTATATTAATACACATTTAAGCAATTTCTTCTGAAAAAGCAAACAAAGAAACAAACAAAAATCTTTCATAAGTTTATAAACAACATAATAAATTGAAAAATTCATTACCGCCAAAAACTGGACATCGTTTTTGCATTCATAATTTCTCAGTTCCCATTCTGGATCATGCTTATATTCAAAAATAGGGTTCGTTATTTTTTTTTCTTTTGTAGTTTACAAAAATACATGACCTGTCTAACATATTATTTTTATTTAATCAATTATGGAATATAAAGAGTTATATATAAAGAATTAAAAAAAAGAAAATTGGTGAAATTTGAAGCAGAGGGATACATGTAATTCCCCTGAAATGGGGGGATTCAAAGAATACAGTGTAATGTCTTGAACGAAACTATAATGGGTGAAATTAAAATGGGGTAAAATTATTTGCAAGTAGGAAATGGTGAAAATAACTCTGTTTATGGTATAACATGTATAGAAGTACGTATATATCATTGTAAACTAGTGCTAATTGTAACGGGAACCGTTACAGATGTTCCCCAAACGCTCCCCAACTCCCTTTTGGTGCCATATTCCATGCACTAAGCCTTATTAGATAAGACAACATCTGTGCATTTTTGCCTTTAACATGTTTTCCCAGAGGGATACCAATTATATTCAAATTTTAACATTGCAGGCGTGCGCATGTGAATGCACGTGGCCAATGATCATATCATCTTGTCTACAATTTTTTATATATTTAAATATACTATATATTAAACCATTTAGTCCAAAAGTATTAAAAAACACTCATTCAAGTGTATTTTTAATTTCACTCGTTCCAAATGCACGCACGTGCGTGCACGTGCATGATGACCATACCTTCTTGTAGGAGGCCCTTATATGTATCTATATTCTAAATCACATTCTGTTTGGTTGAAAACCAAGGGAATTATAGCCATTTCAAGTTTCAGCCAATTACATTGCAGCACACGTGCATGCGCGTGATTTCATGAATTTTTCCTAAATCATATTGTAGGATATCCCAATGCATGAATATGTTTTAAATTTCAATCAGGTTGCAGTACATGTGCATGCGCGTGATTTGTTGAAATTTTTTGTATATCATATTGCAGGATATTCTAATGCAAGACTATGTTTTAAATTCCAAAGCATTTCGTCAAAAAACAAAGGAGATATAGCCATTTAAAGTTTCAGCCAATCAGATTGCAGTGCACGTGCATGCGTGTGATTTCATGAAATTTCTTCCATACTATATTGAAGGATGTCCTTATTCATGACAACGTTTAAAATTTCAAAGCATTTCGTCAAAAAACAAAAGAGAAATTGAGATTTTATTTCAGCCAATCAGAGCAAGGCGCACGTGCATGCGCGTGAGTTCGTGCTTATTTACAGTGTCATATTATTAACACTATTAATATATCCTTATGTAATGAGTTTCAAAGCATTTCATCAAAAAATGTAAAAGTTATGGCCATATTAAATATATCAGTCATTTCACTCACTTCACGCGCACGCACAGGCATGCGAATGCGTGCAAAATGACCTTCATTCCGCACACCTACACTACACACCTATTAACCCTAAAAAGGTTTTAACTTATTGGGTGAACAGTTTCTGAGAACACTCGCGGACAAAAAAGTACCGGAGAACAAAGAAGAAAAAAAGGATAATAATAATAATAATAATAAGAATAAGAAACGAGTAAAAACAATATGTTCCCAAACTCCGTTTGGGGAACATAATTAGAATTTTTTCCTAGATTGAACTCTTGTTACAAAAAAAAATATATCCTAAATCTTACATGTTAAATGTCTTGATTGTAGTGAAGAAGGAGCCATTTTGGATTTCTGACTCTGGAGAAGAAAATCAACAGCTGTTAACAGTGAAGGTAAATTTTTTTTTTAGCTCATCCCAATGTACAGTCAGGGGCATCATGGAATCAAGTTATTT